CAGTACCAGTACCAATCAGAAAGTCACCACGTTTCAGAAAATATTGAGGGATACCTATGATATCCGCACAACTGTTCGCAAGGAAATGGGCCAAGATATAAGTGGTGCCTGTGGTCAATTGGTGGTTAATCTACCAGATAAGCGCTCCATCAGCAGCGCCGCTCCTCTAACAGACATTGAGGATCTCCATAGGCAGCAGAGTTAAAGGTACCTTTTATGTTTGGCTGTTCCTAAATTAGATTGAACTTTCAATCAGGAACCACTTGATCGGGTTTAATATTTGCAGAAATGTGATACCAAATTCAGTTGTAAAAGAAGTCTGTTTCTTTCTTCTTTTTATTTTTTATCAGTAGTTTTTTTAAAAAGAAGACCCGATAAGTCATTCATCACCCATGTACAGTATTGATGCACACAGAATCTAACCATGACCAATGCACTATCTGTACGCTTATTTCTGAAGGTTTGTTTAACTCTGTTTCTCAGAAATTCTATTTAAAAAGGAGAGACGATTAGCAGCTCTATCTACAGGGATATATGTAGCTTTCAGTCTTGACCGCAAGTTGACGTTGGTCCCTGCTATTAGTTGAAGGGGAGATGTGAACGGCGCATCACAGGCTCAAGGGAGATGTATACGACACATGACAAGCCGTCTTTCTAATGTTTCCTTTGTTTTTTCATGGAAAATGTAAATTCTTTTTTATTAGAAATCGCACTGAAGAGGCCTGGACGTGTACGAGAATATGTTCAAAGAGATGTGAGCACTAAAATATTTGGGAAAATGCATAGGTACCCCCAAACTTATCTCGTATTTGCTGTTACACACTTGTACTTTATGGGATCCTATTACCCTCTTCAACATTTTCGAAGTGAAATAAATACCCCCTTCAACATTTTCGAAGTGAAATAAATACCCCCTTGAAAAGTCTCAACCAGACCTGTGCTTAAGAGGTGAAATACACCCCCCTGGCAGATGCTGAATCTTTATTTTTTTAATTTTTTTTTCTTCTTCTTTCTTTTTTCTTCCATCATCCACCACCCCAACCACTACTCCACCATCGCTGGAGAAATAATAGAACCACATTAAAACTACCCATTTGATATATTCATTAGATCTTATCCTTGCTCATCAGAAATTGGACGATTAATATGATCTTTCCAAAAAATAGTTGCATATCTTATTAAATGGAATTGGTGGTGCTTCGATCTCCCTCAAGCACTGAGAACTTGATGTGACATAGTTTGAACGTTATTCACACTTCTAGGCGTCCGACCTTTAACCCTAAAAGAATAAAATCTCGATATCTTCCTTTAACTCAAGTACAGTAGCGAGTAGAAGAAAATTTCTGTTGAGGTTTCTTATTGTAATGAGATATGATTAGACAAGTGGCTGAAAAAATTTGTGACGAGGTGAAGAAAAATTGTCGTTGAGGTTTCTGCCATGGGGAGCTTGCAAAGATGAAGAAGAGGGAGAAAGGTTTACAGATAATGAAGTAAAATTAGTTTTAGTGTCCACTAAGAAACTGACACACGTAAGTATTAGTCAGTTTTTAACTTATATTTTGCTTCTCACTTGCTTCTAAGAGAGTGTACTCACTTTCTCTGCCATGTCATCACTCAAGGAGGTATTTAAGGATCCCGCAAAGTATAGGTGTGTAATAGCAAATAGGAGACTAGTTTGAAGGGTCCCAAAATATTTTGTACGAACCTGAATCAGAAGACATCATAAGCTAGCTTTGGCATGCACATATGATCTGAGATCTCTGTATTCAGTTGTTCACTCAAGGTCCTCACCTAATTTTCGCAAGCTGCAATGTTAGCTGATCACAACCATGCCTTCCTTGGTTTAGGTTTTGGACGAACCCCGGTTCATAATTTCAATTCAGGAGTTGAGAAGAGAATTTAACTTTTATATATATTTATTTATATATTGCATTCAGTTAAAAAAGTGCAACACCTAATTGAACAATTGCCTCTGCTGTTCAAGTCGACTTTTCTTTCTGCAGGGGTTGAGGTCGACATCACAGATCGAACTTAACTTCAGCATAAGGGGTGACTGAAAGTGGGAACTACAAAGAAAGTGGTATATACAAAATAAGACATCAGACGCATACCGCATAAGTTTGCCAAAGAGAAATCATGCATAGTAGAAAAGATGGACAAATAATGGAACATATATTTATTTTGCATGAAAGACCCCAAACCCACATGTATGAGATTTCCCCCATGTTATTTAGGCATGAACTTAATATTCGAGTATAAAGATAATGTTGTATGCAGTTTTACTGCAGACTTCATTAACCAAAGATGAATTCAATCATTCCGTACAGAAGAATCCAAAGTGAAAATGGGTCCATGCTGTAATCAATCCTTGGTGCCTCACTAATCAGTGTTCACAGAACGCAACTAAAAACAGTATCTTGAGCAACGTCCTTCAAGTCCACAGCTAAAATCTTATCGCTAGGAGTCAACCGAACACAAATCCAAGCACCTAATGAAGATTTGAGTTGCTTAAAATCATAATTGAGTGGATTTTACAGCACTAGCTTTGGCCATCAGTAACAGTTCCCCTTGGCTTTTTTGAGGGAAAAAAAGAAAACGAAACTACTACAAATCATCGCAGGATGAGGGGTCTATGAAGCCAATAGTTCTTCAATTTTGGCTATTTGATCTTCTTCATTCTTTGGAGTTGGACTCTTGTTTGCCTCATCATAAAGATCATGTTTCCACTTTTCAANACAAATCCAAGCAACTAATGAAGATTTGAGTTGCTTAAAATCATAGTTGAGTGGATTGTACAACACTAGCTTTGATCATCAGTAATAGTTTCCCCTAGCTTTTTTGAGGAAAAAAAAGAAAAGGAAACTACTACACTTCATCGCAGGATGAGGCGTCTACGAAGCCAATAGTTCTTCAATTTTGGCTATTTGATCGTCTTCATTCTTTGGAGTTGGACTCTTGTTGGCCTCATCATAAAGATCATGTTTCCACTTCTCAGCCACCTTACTTTGATAATGTCCTTGCCTTGAATTGAATCTATCTCGCGCCCTGTAGTCACCATTGCCGTGATACCTGTCTCTTGGTGGAAACTTGCCCCTCCATGCTTCACCCCTGTTTGCATCCCTCTCACCAGTAAATGGTCTCTCATATCTACCAGGATGACGTGACATGTGCTCAGCTCTTTCATTCTTTCTTCCTCCAGCTACCTCAGAGTGCGAGGGATTAGGCTTAACAAGCTCCGTTGCTGCTTTCTCAACTTTCTCAGTATCCACTGGAATCTTTTCCTCTCTAAATGACCTTTTCTTCACAGGTGGTTTAGGATCTTCCTTTACTTCGAAGTACCTATCATGGCGCCAAACATCACTTTGTTTGCCTGAAACTTTGCTCTTATCATCATTCATCTGCTTATCAGTTGTTGTCGTTCTGTTCCAGTGCTCTTTCGGATCTTTCCACCATCCTCGCTCTTCACGGGAAACATAAGATGGTAACTATGTTGTGAATAATTTGTAATAGGCAAGTAGGAAAAAAAAAACGCAGGTAGGAAAGAAAAAACTTTCACAGATATCTTTAGCTAACTCTGCTATCAGGCATTTCCTGCTTTTCAAAATTAAGATCATGTGATTTGGCAGATTAAGAATATAAGGTACTTGCACCAAGGGCGTGGCCTAATGACCAATGAAGTGAGTGCAAACCTAAGAGACAAGGGTTCAAATTCTAGCAGAGATAAAAAAATACTAGGTGATTTCATCTCCTTTGCCCAATTCTTGATGAGCAAAGTAACCCGGTCTCTATACTGGTGGAAGGTAGCAGGTACCCGGTGCAATAATCGAGGTGCGCTAAATCTGGCATGGAAACCACCGTTATAAAAGAAAATAATAACGTAGTAATAACAAATTTAAATTCCTATCACAGCACCAAGCAATTAAAGAGGTCTCTCATAACAGAATATAAAGATCTGATCACAGGTCAAGTGAGACATCAAGAGTTAGAGGTCATACAACGGTCTGATCCTTGCTTTTGCTCCTCGGCAAAGAAAAAGAAAAAAAAATGGAAAGTTCAATACTCATCAANAAAAAATAATGGAAAGTTCAATACTCATCAAAATGCTAGGATAATATGTGGAAACTCACCAGTTGCTGCCTTATGCCTGGAGCTTCGATCAACTTGCCCAGCACTACCACGCTCATCGTGCTGTTATAAGACATGCACAGGCAAGTCTAACATTGTTATATACACGGATCTACTTGGAATCAACAGGCTGAACAACAATCCCACAACATCAGCCCCAATATATAAGGAGCAAAAACAGATTAACACAATCAATGCACTAGNTATATTATACATAGAATTTAAATTTCATTTTAAAGCAACATTTTTCTTTTTTTAAGAATTAAAATTGTAGTTTCTTAATGAGGCTGAGTAATAAGATAGTACTGGAAGGAAAGAAACGAAGCAACATTATTCTTACGATGCTCAAATTGAACAAACCCAATTATCTAGATACAGACAAATGAAATCAAATATAACTGCTTAAAAATATAAATGAAATAAATTAAAGTTAAAAGAAGTATTCTCTGGTTTCATTAGTTCTCTAGCTAAGCTGAATTCCACTCCCCAACCCCTCTCCACCAACACCAGTGGCGGTATCCAAATTTTGCACACGAATGGAAAAAGAAACTATGATAAGTTTTTTTTTTTTGAAATAGGAACTATGATCAAGTTTTTCGGCGTGCTTCAATTGAGTTTTAGGAGCAAACCTCTCCAAAGAACCTGCTCATCAAAGTTCTACCATGCCAATAGTGCATAAGCATAATCTAATACAAACTGACACGAGAAGGAAAATGATGTCAACACAACACAGAAACCTGAAAATATGATGTAGAACGAGGTGCTTCGGTTGGGTTTGAAGAGTTTTTGGATGATCGATGGCGAGATCCTTCATTGTGATCAGACGGCTCTTTGATCCCATCATCTTTAACTGTTACATTCTCAGATGGTTTCCTCGCAGTTCTATCTGATTTGGAATCTTGTGCTGACGAAGCATCAAGAGGTACAGCATCTTGCAGCCTACGGTGGTGTTTTAGATCTCGTTCTGAATTGTTTCCACCATCTAAATTGTGTGTGGTAGGTGGCCTCTCAGGTTCTGGTCTACTGTGCTTCCTAGATCTCTTTGGACTAGCAAGAACAAATATGATACAGAATATTAGCACATGGTTTGTATGCGAAACTCATAGCATTTACAGATTGAGTAAAATTCCAAACAAAGCGCAAAATGTGCAATAAAACAGAACCCCAATTTTTCAAAATAAAATTAACTCTTTCCAGTTGTGAAGTAGTTCAAGATATATCTATCTTTAAATCTCAAAACCAACAATGGTTCTTTTTTATCACTCCATTATTTTTCATACAGCAACCCGTCCATTTTTTGTCGGTAAGCTTTAAATTTCAACGGCCATAAAAAGGTTCTTTTTTCTCTATCCAATGATTTTTTATACATCAATCCATCTACTATTTTTCTTCAATAAACTTTATACTCGGACCAAAAAAGGTTCTTTTTTCTCACTCCACTATTTTTCCTATTAGCAATCCTTTCATTCCAGTCTTTCAGACGGAACCAATAGGCAAGGCAGTGGTCCTTTAAGCTTAGTCCTAAACATAAACCCCAATTTCACATAACTATTTTTCACGTGAACACTGATACAAAAAGAAAAAAAAAAAGGAGAAAACTTGATAACAACAGGAAATTCTAACCGCATCTGAAATTCGTAGATAACAAAATCCCATCAACTATTTCTTCTTCCTTATCTCTTTTAAAATTAAAACTCACTTGCGTACTTTTGTTATTCTTCTCTAAATGCAAGTGGAAATAAGTTCACAAATGTGTTACCTGGGTTCTTGATCGAATCGGGAACGGTGACGTTTCGAGTCAGAATCGCGGCCCTCTCGACAAGACGACATTAGGGTTGTTCTTGAACAAAGACGACTAAAAATGCTACTACCATGGGAGCTTATGTAAATCCGATAGATTTTTGTGTGTTAAAACTTAAAACTAGATAAAATCGGGTCGAGGATACAGTGATAGGCCCAATATTAGTGGGCTTTAACATCTAATCCAGAGTTAGTCGGGCTTGCTATTAGGATATGAAATTAAAGGTTAAAATTGCGTGGGATTTGGTCGCCCCTTTTTAACTTGTACCCATTTTATTTTTCCGTTTGCATCCGTACCCGTTTAAAAAGATAATTTTACCCTTCTTTAATAAAAGACTATTGACAAAACTATAGACTGCAGGACAAAACTTTAGCTTTTGGTATGAAATTTTAGCAAATAAACTAAATAACTTCAGCATGCATTAGCAAAAACTCATTAGAAAATTACATAACGCAGTACAAAACTTTAAGCATGATTAGTCTGAAGTTTTAGCAAATGAACTAAAAAATTTCAGCTTGTTTAGACTGAAGTTTCGGATAAAACTCATGACAAAACTATAGACTGCAGGAAAAAATTTCAGCATGTTTTGGTATGAAATTTTAGCAAATGAACTAAATAACTTCAGCATGCATTAGCAAAAACTCATTAGAAAATTACATACTGCAGGACAAAAACTTAAGCATGTTTAATCTGATATTTTAACAAAATGAACTAAAAAACTTCAACATGTTTAGACTGAAGTTTCGGATAAAACTCATGAAAAAATTGTAGACTGTTGGACATAACTTCAGTATGTTTTGGTATGAAATTTTAGCAAATGAACTAAATAATTTCAGCATGCATTAGCAAAAACTCATTAGAAAATTATATATTGCAAGACAAAAACTTAAGTATGCTTAGTCTGAGGTTTTAACAAATGAACTAAAAAAATTTCAGTTTGTTTAGACTGAAGTTTCTAATAAAACTCATGACAAACTGTAGACTGCAGGACAAAATTTCAGCATGTTTTGGTATGAAGTTTTAGCAAATAAACTAAATAACTTCAACATACATTAGCAAAAACTCATTAGAAAATTACATACTGCAGGACAAAAACTTAAGCATGTTTAGTCTGAAGTTTTAGCAAAATGAACTAAAAAACTTCAACATGTTTAGACTGAAGTTTCGGATAAAACTCATGACAAAACTGTAGACTGCTGGACATAACTTTAACATGTTTTGGTATGAAATTTTAGCAAATGAACTAAATAATTTCAGCATGCATTAACAAAAACTCATTAGAAAATTACATACTGCAAGACAAAAACTTAAGTATGCTTAGTCTGAGGTTTTAGCAAATAAACTAAAAAAATTCAGTTTGTTTAGACTGAAATTTCGGATAAAACACATGACAAAACTGTAGACTGTAGGACAAAATTTAAGCATGTTTTGGTATGAAATTTTAGCAAATAAACTAAATAACTTCAACATACATTAGCAAAAACTCATTAGAAAATTACATACTGCAAGACAAAAACTTAAGTATGCTTAGTCTGAGGTTTTAGCAAATAAACTAAATAACTTCAACATACATTAGCAAAAACTCATTAGAAAATTACATACTGCAGGACAAAAACTTAAGTATGTTTAGTCTGAAATTTTAGCAAAATGAACAAAAAAAACTTTAGCATGTTTAGACTGAAGTTTAGGATAAAACTCATAACAAAACTGTAGACTGCAGGATAAATAATTTCAGCCTGCATCAGCATGAAGTTTTAGCTTCAATGGGAAATTTTTCGCGAATGAGGTTGCCGATCACGCGATTAATGCGTGATGCAGATTTTATATCTTTTGTCAGAGGTATAATTGTCATATTATTACGGATTTTTTGCCAGCTGGCTACCAAATCAATAATTTTTAAAAATAGGGTATAGGTTAAAAGGTGACACAAATATAGGGTACGACTGCAAATTCCCAAATTAAAGAGTTTTAACTTCTACTATGAACTAACGACTTAACTATATTTTTATTTTTTTTTACACTCTCTTGTCTTTTTTTTTAACTCTCATGCCAGCATTTATAAGTTAAGTCCTGAAATATAAAATGGTAGATGATCTTAAATACTTGTATGCCAAGATGTTTTTTGAGAAGCAAACTCAAAATTAATTATATCATAACTATAAAAGGGCAACCCGATGCACTAAGCTCCCGTTATGCGCGGGGTCCGGGGAAGGGCAGGACCACAAGGGTCTATCGTACGTAGCCTTACCCTGCATTTCTGTAAGAGGTTGTTTCCACGGCTCAAATCCATGACCTCCTGGTCACATGACAGCAACTCCCCTTCTATGTCAAAACTATACCCAAATTAAAATTCAAACACCACTTCAGCTCATAAACTAAGGATAGGAGGGAAAAAAAAAAAGAAAAATTAACCCAAATAGCCTCCCACCTAATCTCTAAAACTAAAAATAATCGACGGATATATATTGTATATATAATTCATGTATAATATATGTATAACTGTGTATAAACTATATATACTGGTTAGAAAAAGTATTCATTGAATTTGACCGGCTATTTGTGTAACAACCGGCCAGTTTATGAATCAACTCTGAGATAAAACATAGTAATACAAGAGTTTATCTACTTGCATCATACCTTATTTCAGACGAAACTAAAAACTTCTTAGGGATAAATAAAAGTTGGCGTTTTGATTGAAAACTAACATTGTGGCATTGGATATTTTCCAAGTCTCTTCAAATCTTATAATAATACAAATGCCAAACACACCACGTTTGGTAGGTAATCGTCCTATAGATCTTTAAGTTTGGTGAAAATGTTCGTCAGTTCGATATATAGCAGAAACAATTCTTCTTGTGAAAAGAAAAACACAAACTACACTTATTTTAGTATTCGTCATTTTTCATATATACACCTCGGACTTGGCAAAAGCGATTGTGCTATAAACAAACTGAGGATGAGCTCTCCTTGAAGTCAATTTAACTCTTCGGTTTAAATCTGGTGCACCATTTAACAAGAAGATCTTCAATATCTGCATCCATTCGAGTTCCTAAGCCTCCCCAAACCAACATGTGACCAACATCTCCCAGTGATTCTCCAGTAACTTGGTGTACTGACTTGAAACCAATCCTTGTGTAGAACCTCACAAGCTGTTACATTGAAAGAGAGAAGCCAAAGATGAGAACCCACTCTTCTACTTGAAGCAACACAAACTAGAAAGTAAACATGAATAGATATGATACCTAATATGATGAAGTAAAAGCACCTAATGAGGCTTTCAGGGCAATGATCTAGTGGTAAGAACAGTTGTGAAGAAAGATAGAGGGATTGATCCATTATCCACTAAATTTCAAATCGTGCTGACCCTCAGGAATATTTCGATTATAAAAAAATTCTAATGGGAAGAGAACTAGAATCACCATCAGATTGTACACTATAAATTTTTACAGGAAACATCATTAAAATGTTACTCCTATTAGTTAATGGCTCTCAAAGATTCAATTTTAAGAAAAGTTCCTGATTTTACTTCTATAATAAGATCATCAACCAATCAATAGCGTCAATCTCAAATTAATTGGAGCCATTTCATTTCAAGAGCCAATAATTTTTGTGAATACAAACCTTGTAGCAAACAACAACAACAACAACAACAACAAAGCCAGTGAATACAAACCTTGCAGAAAATAAATAAATAAAGTTCTGAGGTCCCAATCCAAAGACGGGGGAAACAATGCATCAATGGGTTAGTTAACTCAGAAGGAGAAAACTACACCAAAGAACACATTTTTATGCAATAAATCATGAACTCAAAAATTGTGACTGAAATGGAAGAGGGAGTGGTGAATGACCTTGGAGTGATAAAGGTCAGTGTCATAAATGGCCAGCAACTCAGCTTTTCCACAACCAGAATCATAACCATGCCTAATTGCAACTGCTCCAATGAACAAGCCAATCCCAAATATTGATTTTTCCATCCCCAAAGTCTCTCTCTTTAGTCTTATGGAGTCCAAGTGTAGAATCTTACCTTGAAACCAGACCCTTATCAAACCCTCAGTTTTTCCAAGTTCCCTTTGGGTTTTTAAGCTCCTAGCTGTTATTCTAAAAAAAGGTCCCAATGTTTTGAGCTGAAGATCAAGATTTTGGGATCTTGATGCTTCCATTATTTCTGACATAGTGGGATATTTGTCTTCAGAACTAGCACTGTAGGTTCTTGTTGAGGAGCTACTGGAGACTGAAATCTGGGATATGAGGGGTTTACTTTTAATAATGAAAGGATAAGAAATAATTTGCTTCCCAGATGTTGGTGTTTCTGGATAAGGGAATTTAGTTGTGGAGTTTCTGACAGCAGTTGGGCATTTTGTGTAAGGATATGAACTCATTGTTCCAGAATTTTGAGGATATGGAATTGTGGAATCTCTTACAAATTAGACATAACAGTACTAAACTCTTCTTCTCTCCTCTCTCTCTTTTCTGGATATCATTTTCGAGTATATATTTCTCCTATTTTCGGGTAGAGTAGAGCAGGGAAATCAGGGATAGAGCAGGAGAGGAGGTGAGGATGAGGATATAACAAGGTCGAAAATATTTTTACATCGTATCAATTTTACTTTTTATTTCAATTTTGAACTCTGTAATTTGTGCAAAAGAAAGAATTTATCGAACATTTGGAGTTATTATCTTCCAAATAATCATAATAGCTGAACTTTTTTTTACTAATCATAATATTTTATTCTTGAGCATAAAGCATCAATTCATATAATCCCAATTAATCACATAATATGATTCGCTCATCTGTATAAACAACAAAAACAACAACAACAACCCAGTATAATCCACTAGTGGGGTCGATGTTTCCGATAGATACTCGGTTTTATCCCTTCAAGAACTCCGCACCTTGCTCTTGGGGTTACTCGAACTCACAACCTCTTCGTTGGAAGGAAGTGGAGGGTGCTCACCACTAGAGCAACCACTCTTGTCCGTTCATCCATATAAAGTGAATGAATTTCACATTCCCTATAACACTGGTTCATCAAAAACATTGACGAGGGGAAGTACGAAGGTTTAGTAATTTGCCAAGGTAAAACAAAGAA